GCAATAACAAACATATGAATCAGTGCTCCTTGAAATTCTCATAATTTAAATTTCTGAAGGGCTCACTCATTTCACTGTCCTCCCAGGACCTAGATTTATGGAGGGCTTAGAGTCTTTAAAATCTGAACTTAAAACCTGGGCTTGGAAATTTCTGGTTGTAATACCTTAAGAAATTGATTTAGTTATCTGACCTGAAGTTTTGTCATCTATATACTATATATAAAATCGCAGAAAAAGCAACAGCTGCTCTAAATGAGAAGGAAACAGTGAATGATCTCTAGGTACAAGAAAAATCAGACTGACAGGACACCCCTTGAAGAAAACAATAACCATACCAATGGAAACCAACACTATCTGAGAATATTGAAATGACTGATGAAGAAGTTTGGATATGGATTGTAAAAAAGCTCAATGATACACAACGGAAAGTAAGATCCAACACATAAAGAAACTACAAAAACAATGCATGAAATGATGAATTCACTAAAGAAATGAAACTATTAAAAAAAAAACAAACAGAGCTTCTAGAATAAAAAATTTATTCCAGGAAATATAGAAAACAGTGAAAAGTCTTAAGAAAAGGCTAGATCAAGTAGAAGAAAGAATCTCAGAGCTATAATTTTCTGTATTAAATAAGTCAAGGAGAAATAAATAAGAAATAAACAAAGCCTATAAGGAATATGGGATTATGGAAAAAGGCCTAACATAAAAATCATAGGCATTTCTGTGGGGGTGGGGGGGAGAAAATACACTAGAAGCTCAATGGACTCTTGGGATATTCATCACCCAGAGGCAATCCCTACAATTGGCCATCAGACTAGCAAAAGTTGATGAGGAACTTCTATGCACTGTAAGGTAAGAACATCAAGTATCTTACAAAGGAAAACCATCAGACTAACTGTAGACCTCTCAACTGTGACTTTATAACCCAGAAGGGATTGGAGGCCATTCTCAGTTTCTTAAACAGGCAGCCTGGAATATTGTATCCAGTAAAACTGAGTTTCTTATGTAGGGGGAAGTAAACTTTCTCAGATAAGAAAATGCTAAGGGAATCTGTCTGATAACTTGTGTTCCCTTTGTCATTTAGTTCAAAGAATCATATGATTTCCATCTAAATTTCCTTCTTGACACAATAATTGTTTCAGAGTAGGTGGTTCAATTTCTATGACTTTGTGTAGAATTGAGTGTTTCTGTTGGAGTTGATTTCTAATTTTATTCTACTGTGATCTGAGAAGATACATGATATAATTTCTACTTTTTTAAATTTGTTGAGACATGTAGGAAGTACTGAGATGTGCATTATACATTACACTGATCTGTACAATAGACACTCACCAGTGTAAAATCATCCAAACGCTAAAGTGCAGAGCCCAGACGCAACAATGGCTCAAGAGGTAAAATAAAACAGTACAGCTCCCCTCAGCAGCATGAACAGAAATCTACCCCATCTATCAATTCTTTCAATAAACGTGAATTGATTGAACACCCCTCTTGAGAGATATCAGCTGGCTGAATAGATAAAAAAATATAAGCCAGCTATCTGCTGTCTCCAGAAAATGGATCTAATCTATAAGACACATTCAGACTTGAAGGGAAGGGGTGGAAAACAAAATTCCAGGCATGTCCAAACAAAAACAAAACTTGTGTAGTCATTCTCATATCAGATAACAGACTTCAAAGGAAAAAAGCTAAAGAAAAAGAAAGATGGTCATTATATAATGGTAAAAGGAACAATTCAACAAGAAGACAAAATAATCTTAAATACTTATGCACTACTACAGGTGCACCCAGATGCATAAAGCAAAACCTCCTAGATCTAAACAAAGTGATAAACAACAACATTGTAATAGCCAGGGACTTCAGCACCCCACTGACAGAATTGGACAGATCTGCCCAGCAGAAAATAAGCATATAGCCAGTGTTGTGGTGGGTACCTATAGTCCCAGGTCCTTGGGAGGCTGAGGCAAGAGGATTGCTCAAAACCAGGAATTGGAGGTTGCTGTGAGCTGTAATGCCACGCGACACTTTACCCAGGATGACAACGAAGTGAGACTCTCTCTCTCTTTCAAAAAAAAGAAAAAAAAAAAAGAAAGAAATAAGAAAAATAAACATAGGACTTAAATGAGACTGTAGAGCAAATGGGCCTAAAAGATGTTCATGGAACATTTCATCCCCAAACTAATGAATATACATTCTCCTCATCAGCACACAGAACATTTCCCAAGATTAATAACATCTTAGGCCACAAAACATGTCTCAACAAATTAAAAAAAGTAGAAATTATATCATGTATCTTCTCAGATCACAGTAGAATAAAATTAGAAATCAACTCCAACAGAAACACTCAATTCTACACAAAGTCATAGAAGTTAAACCACCTACTCTGAAACAATTATTGTGCCAAAGAGGAAATTAAGATGGAAATCATATGATTCTTTGAACTAAATGACAAAAGGGACACAAGTTATCAAATTCTGTGGGATTCAGCAAATATATTTCTAAGTGGAAAATTTATAGCCTTAAGTGGCTACATTAGAAGAATAGATTACAAATCAATAATCTAATGAAGCATGTCAAGGAATTAGAAAAGGAAGAGCAAACCCATCTCAAATCCAACAGAAGAAAATGAATAACCAAAGTCAGAGAATAACTAAATCTAATAAATAACAAAAGAATTATACAAAAGATCAATGAAACAAAAAGTTGGTTCTTTGAAAAGACATGTAAAATCAACAGTCCTTTTGGCAGAGTAATGAAAAACAGCCAAAGACCTTAATGAGTTCAATCAGAAATGGGAAAGGAAATGTTACAACTGATACTATAGAAATACAAAACATCGTCTATGAACACTGTAATAACCTCTGTGCACACAAACTTGAAAATGTTGAGGGAATAGACAAATTCTTAGAAACACATAACCTCCCTAGGTTCAATCAGGAAGAAATAGAACTCCCAAATAGACCAACAGCAAGTAATGAAATTGAAGCAGCAATAAAAAAATACCTTGCATCAAAACAGAGCCCTGGACTATATGGTGTCACAGCTGAAGTTTATCAGATCTATAAAGAGGAAGTGGTACCTATACTGCAGAAATTATTTCATAACATTGAGAAGCAAGGAATCCTCCCCGACTCATTCTATGAAGCCAGTATCACCTTGATACCAAAGCCAGCAAGAGACACAACAACAAAAAGAAAACTACAGGCTGATATTCCTTATGATTATAAATTCAAAAATCCTCAATAAAATCCTAGCAAACTGAGTTCATAAGCACATCAAAAAAATAATTTACCACAACGAAGTGGGCTTCATCTCAGAGATACAAGGATGGTTCAACATACCTAAATCTATAAATGTGTTTTACCATAGAAAGAGAAATAAAAACAAAGATCATATGATCATCTCAGTAGATGCAGAGAAAGAATTTGACAAAATGTAGTACCCTTTTATGATAAAAACTCTTAACAAAATGGGCATAGATGGAAGATACTTCAAAATTATAAGGGCCATTATATGATGGAACCACAGTCATCATAGTGAACAGGAAACAATTAAAAGCATTCTACTTAGATTACTTAGATCTGGAACTAGACAAGGTTGTCTAATGACACTGCTTGTATTAAGCATAGTGCTGGAGGTGCTAGCCAGAGCAGTAAGACAAGGAAAGGAAATCAAAGGTGTCCACATGGTGATGGAAGAGCTCAAAGTAGCACTCTTTGCTGATGATATGATGTCATATCTAGAAAACTCCAAAGATTCTGCCAAGAGACTCCTGGAATTGATAAATAAATTCAGCAGTGTCTCAGATTACAAAATC